AAAAAAGCCGGAAGTAGTGCTGTGGCTCAAGTGGTAGAGTGCTAGCCTTGAGCTGAAGAGCTGAGGGACAGCGCCCAAGCCCAGAGTTCAGGCCCCACGACCGGGCCCCCCCTCCCCCCAAAAAAAGAATTACCACAGGTTGGGAAGGTGGCTCAGTGGTAGAGTGCTTGCCTTGCATGCATGAGGCCCTGTGTTCGATTCTTCAGCACCACATAAGTAGAAAAAGCCAGAAGTGGTGCTGTAGCTCAAGTGGTAGAGGGCTAACCTTGAGCAGAAGAGCTAAGGGACAGTGCCCAGGCCCAGAGTTCAGGCCCACAACCGACAACCTCCCCGCCCCCCCCCCAAATAGAATTACAACATACACAGGCCGCTAGTGGCTCACGCCTGTAATCCTAGCTAGTAAGGAGGCTGAGATCTGAGGATTGTGGTTCAAAACCAGCCTGGGCAGGAAAGTCCATGGGACTCTTATCTCCAATAAACCACTCAGAAAACTGGAAGTAGTGCAGTGGCTCAGGTGGTAGAGTGCTAGCCTTGAGCTGAAGAGCTGAGGGACAGCACCCAGACCCAGAGTTCAAGCCCCATGACAGACGAAAGAAAGAAAGAGAAAAAGAAAGAAAGAAAGAAAAAAGAAAGAAAAAGAAAGAAAGACCACATAGAAAGTAGCTTATGAACAACAGAAATTTATGTCTTATAGTTCTGGTGCTGGTAGATCCAGGATCTGCTGAGGACATAGATAGCACCTTCTCGCTGAGTACTCACATGGTAGAAGGGACTAGTTTGCTTTCTGGAGCCTTATACGGACACTAATTCTCAGTCATGAAGCTTCCACCTTCATCACTTCCCACTCTCAATATTATCGCACAGAGGATTAAGTCTCGAGATATTAATTTTAGAGGATACAACATTCAGACCACAGCACAGACCACACAAGTCTGAAGTCTCATTTACTGACCATCTACTTGTATATGCCCAGTGTCCTTCCTATATGACCTCTTATCTTCCATCTCTGCATCTTGGTGGATATCTCTACCCTTCTTTCAAACATGTGGTTCAGACTGGGTATGATGGCATATACCTGTAATCTCAGTATGAGGAAGGCTGAGGTAAAGGGTCATGAATTTCAGGCCAACCTGGAATATAATCCATGTAAACTCGTAGTATTATTTTTAATTGTAAAGTAAGTTATGTGGCTCATAGTGCCAAACTTCTAGTAATGCCCAATGAATATCAGCTACTGTTACTAATTTGATGTGCTCCAGGCTGAATCTGAAGGTCTCCTCTCTACTTCGTATGTCTGTTTATCCTTAGGTGAACTTGGTCAATTCTGTGGCCTTAAATATAAACTATACTAACAACATCAAAATGTGTATCTCCCGTCAAATTTCTAGTTTCCAAATGTAAGTCAGATCATATCACTTCTTTACTCAAAATCACTCTGGTGGCTTCCTATCTTAGTGAAAAATGCAGAGTCCTAACCAGGCCTGTGAGGCCCTATGTAATATGTCTTACCTTTCTAGTCTGTCACCTAGCTCCTCCTACACTTTCCTTCAGCCACACTAGTATGGCTTGTTGAATGACTTTTCCCTCACCAGACCCCACACTATCAGCCTTGCTTCTCAGGCCCTTTGTCTTTGCTTCTCTACTTAGTGTGTTCATTCTGATACTCCCTTGACACATTTCTTCACTTCCTCCTGATTTCTGCTCCAATAACTGTCTCAAGAGAAAGGCCATCCCTACCACCTTAAATAAAGGGGGACTTTCTCTTTTCTTCTGACCCTAGTTTACTTTTCCTTATAGTGCCTCCTAAGCTGTAACTATTTGTTTGCTTATGGCTTGTTTTCCTCTAGATAAAAAACAAGAGTTTTGTTTTATTCATAGTCCCTAAGTTAGTGTTTGGCATATGGTAGCCATTCAATAAATAACTACAATGTTAATTGCGCACCTAGTAAAGTCGCTTGCTCTCTACTCCTGGCCAATCTGAATCCCTTGTTTGGGAAGATAAAACTTTATTATGAATATATATTACCTCTGGCTTTTTGATGGTCAGTTGGAGATGACTCTTTGATATTTGTCTGCCCAGGCTGGCTTCAAACAGCGATCATCGTGTCTCAGCTTTCTGAGTAGCCAGGATTATAGATGTAAGCCACCAGCATCTGGCTAAATATAACTTTAATAACCTGCCAATCCATATTCTTCTACAACCATGATTGTTTCAACTCAAACAATGGGTCGACAAGGCAGGGAAAGAGGTATATCCCTTCTTTCTTGGTAACTATTAGATCAGGATTTGAACTCAGTTCAGTTAGGATCATTTGATAAAGGCATTTTTAGAAAGAAACAGAAATGAAGAGCACTGAAATGACCAATTGTCATTTTACCACTTAAAAATTTGAGGAAGTAACTAAGAAAATCCACGAGATCAAACGTACCTGGAGTGGGAGAGGTTAGAGAAAGTAAAATGAGAAGAGAGAAAGAGAAAAAAAAAACCCAACATTCCCGTGAGGGAGAGAAAGCGAACCGACGCAGGCAGGACGCAGCCGGCGCTCCCACTGTGCTCATAGCATGCCTGGCTCTGGGCTTGGGTCCCACGTCCTGCCCAGGAGATAAACTCTTAAGGAAAGGAGGGAGTACAGTTGTGAAGTAGCGCCCAGGGAAGAGAGAGAGGACAGGGTGGGGCCCCGGGACCAGAGACAGGAAAGAAGCTAGAAAGAAAAGCGAAGGATCGAGCCGAGCGGCGAGCAATACAAAGCGGCCTCGGCTGGTGCCGGAGCTGCAAGCGTTAAGGGGAGGCGGGGAGTGACGCGGTTTGCGTCTGGAGCGGCTCCTTGGAGTCCACAGCATCCACCGCCGGAGCCTCGCCTTCCTTTCTCCCTCTGCAGACATAATCAGACACAAAAAGAGAGGCGACCCCAGCACCGCGGCGGAGGACCCATCCGCACCATGACGGAGACCACGAAGACCCACGTTATCTTGCTGGCCTGCGGCAGCTTCAACCCCATCACCAAAGGCCACATTCAGATGTTCGGTAAGTCCCCCCGCCCACCCTGCGAGGCTGCTTCCGCTCCTCGCTTTCCCCGGCACCTGTGTTTTCCAGGGCCAGGGAACAGGAAGGCGTGCGCCTCTCGGGAGGGCACGGGGGGCGGGGGGGCTGGACGGCTGGCCCACCCCGTGGGTGCGCGGTCTGCTCCTCGGGTCTCCCCCGATCGCGGGAGGGGACCCCACCTGCTTGGCCCAGGCGTCCCTCGCCGCCGGGGGCCAGAGCGGCTCGCGGAGGGCTGGGAGTGGGGGAGGGGAGGAGCTGGGGTGCGTGTCATGTGGGGCGGGGAGCGGGGGGTTCCAGGGTAGAGAATTAGAGTAGCGAGGTGCGGTGCTTTGACTAGTTGGCTAGGAGGCAGAGGTTGGGGTGCGGAGATGGGGAGATGGGGGCGGGAGGGTGGTGGGAGATAGCGTGCTATTTGTTTAGGGTGGACAGGAAAGGAGTTAAATATGCCCTCCCCCCCCAAAACACACCAGTGACAGGGGCTGGGGTGTCCATGAATGAATGCAGGGCTTGGCTGATGGTTGGGGGGGGTGAGAAGGGGAAGGAGAGGGGACCGGAGTGAATGTTTGGGGACTGTGCACCTAATACTGTCCGCTTGAGGTGGCTGCAGAGTGATGGGGGGGGGGGGACCTCCGGCCCAGGAAGGAAGGGGCGGGGCGGCCGCCGCGGGAGGTCGGTGGTCCTCGGCCCGAGTTGGGGAGAGGCTCTGCCCCGGGCGGCGATGCACCCTGCCGGCTGGCGGCGTGCGAGAGTGTGTAAGGGTGTGCGTGTGTGCGCGCCCTGGGTCTGGAGGGGAGGGTGGCGTCTTGGAGGCTTTGGGGCGTTGTGTGGGGAGCCCTCGGAGGCTCTGATTGCGCGGCGCGGTGCGCGGGAGGGGGGCGGTTAGTGCGCCCTCAAAAAGTAGGGGAGAGGTGATGGATGGATGCGGGTGGGCAATCGATCGCCATCGGTGGGGCACGGCTGTGCGCGTTTCGAACCCCGATCCGGGAGGGACGCGGAGGCCACTGGAGAAGCAGGAATTGGGGAGAAGTTAGAAGTTCGAGGTTGCTTTCTGCGCGTGCCGGGGATGGAAGCCACGGCGGGGCGGAGGAGGCGAGGGGCGCGGGGAGGCGCGGGGGCCGGCGCAGGGAAGGGAGCTCTCCGCAGGCGCTGGTGCTGAAACCCTGGGCGAGCAGCAGCCGGCCGAGGGCACGTGTTACTTTACCCAGAGCCCGCCACAGCTCTCCCGGGGCCGCTTCATGAAAGCCATTATGTCCGGAAAGACCGTGGCGTAGGCTAAAAATGCGTAGCCCAGAACCTAAGAGGCGCACCGGCGTGGGCCTGCTGGTTAAACACCCTCGCGCAAAAGGTGCGCAACTACTCCGACGGGGGTCTGGTGGGCACTCGTGCAGGATGGAAGCCCGCGAGGCGGACGCTGCTCCTCGTTACTCCTTCAGCTGTTGGGAAACGTGTTTGCTCAAAATGGGGGAGAATGATGCAAGGGGTGAGGTGGATCAAGATGGATTGTACTCATAACCTGACTTAGGGAACTGTGACCTTTGGTACAACTACTTGATTAATAAATTCCCTTTTATTTATCCTATCGTCATTAAGTAGTTGTACAAAAGAGTTGCCATTTGATGAAGCAGTTTACAAATACAATGCATCTTGATCAATATCAACCCTTTCAACATGCCCATCCGCCCACCCCCAACCCACCCCTTCCCTCACTTTTCTTTATTTTGTAGGATAGACATTGAATTCTTGTGACTGCGTTCTTCTCCTCTTCATTCTGCTATCTCTTTCGCCTGAAACCCCACCCCTTTCAAGTACCCATTTTCCTAGTGTTTTGTTGAACTTGGATTTTTCCTTGGAAAAGAATTACACTATTATTCCAGTTCTCCCTTGAATCTACTGTATTTCTAGAAAATGAAAAAAAATACATATTTACTCAGAGATAATGCCAGCAGTTGGCAACCTGGATGGACCAGTGCATCTCACTAATGTAATAGAATATCAGCACCCCAGGAACATGCTGCTTTTTGCTTTCCTTTGATTGCAGTGTCTTTCCCCTCATGTTTCTTTTCCTTTCTGTCTTATTTTTATTCCTCTCCCTTGACCAAGCAGGGATGGACTTTCTTAGAGAACTCCTTAGCTCTAGGAATCTTTGGTAGGCCAACAGTACCTGCTCTTCCCCTCTTTCTGGGACTGGGGAGTGTGGGGTGTGTGGTGTGTAGTTCATGTTTCTTGTTTCAGATTCCATGTAGGACAGACTTAGATTCAGAACCAAGGCTGTATATGAAGAGTTTGGTAGTAGCAATGAAGCCATGTGTTCAGGATGATGGCCTGCCAATGTTCCCCAAGCTTTGAGGATAGAATATATGGACATAGGCAAGAACTGCAGCAGAATTTATGCATAGAATAGGTGAAAGGAGACTTTTGGTACTGATGATTTTTTGTTATTGACATTGAGGAGCAAGTGAGACTGTAAACAAAGTCCTTTAAGTATCCATTAGTTAAGTGTAATACAGACACAATAGACAGACACAAAAAGGGGATGTGATATGTCTATCTATGGTGTTATGGAGTTTACTATCTAGTGAAGAATTTAAATCATATGTGAAAAGCAAATGCAAACAAGAACACAAAACACATATTAAATTATTTTCATAGAGTCTTGTTGGTATCTTTGAACTTTTGATAAACTATCTTTTTTTAAATTTATGCACTGATACTGCGACTTCAACTGTAGGACTTCATGCTCAGCTTTTTCCTTCAAGGCTGATGCTCTATCACTTGAGCTACACTTCCAGGTCCAGCTTTTTACTGGTTAATTGGAAATAACAGTCTCTCAGATTTGTCTGCCCTGATTGACTTTGATCTATGATTCTCAGACCTCAGCCTCCTGAGTAACTAGGATTATAGGCTTGAGCTGCCCTGTGCCTACCTATTTGTCTTATTTTATTTTTCATATTTCTTGACAGTTTTGGTGTTTTAATTCAGTCTGACCTTGAGAGCCTGCTAGGCAGGCACTCTACCACTTGAGCCATACTCACAAACCTGTAATTTATTTTCATAGAACAATTTCTGTTTAACAAAGTGTTAGGTGTGCACTACTAATTCATATTCACAACCTGATGAGACAGGCATCATTATCTGTATTTCGCAAATGAGAAATTGACATCCAGTCAGCTAAGAGACTTCATTATGAATGTCTATGGAGAGCAATGGCAGGGTTTTCTCAAACCCCACATTCCTGACCCCTCTTGTAGAGGCCTTGGTACTGCAAGAAGGGCAGGTAATCCTCTGATTGCACGTTCCTGTGAAAATTCTATTTCCTTCAGTAGTCAGACTGATTAGAATGAAATTGACCATCAGCAAACTGAATTCCTAAGTAAGCAATTCCTTAAGAGCTCTCTCTCTCTCTCATTGCTAAAGAAATGTTATCCATGAACTATTTCCTCCTTTTAAATGGTTTCAATTTTTTCTTTTCAATAGCACAGAAATACTGTAATGACATTATCAATTTTCTTTAGGTGCCCAAAATCTGCCCTAAAAGTTTACAAATAAGATTGTAAAAGAGGACTTTCAAATTAGACATTTTTAAATAGACCTCCTATATTTTAAAAATCTACTTGTCTAACAGAGGAAATAGCAAGTCTGTAAGCAGGAGAGAAGTGGGATTTAGAACTCAAGAACTTGTAGTCCTTGTAAAGTAGCCTTCCATAATTCTCAATATTTGTGAAACACTTTTGAATTAGCTTTCTTTTGCTCTGAAAGTGGAGTGGAGTACTCTGTCACCTGCTCTGCTGTGACAACAGAAACTTGAAAATAGTTTTTGTAATAAAGATGTTTGACACATACACTCAACTGTAAGTAAAATATTTTCAAGGATGATTAAAAGATTTTTGTCATGTAGACCCATAAACTGTGTCATATTTCATGGGTCCATTTTATTACATAGAATTTTAAAATAGAAATTCTTAGTTTTTATAGTTTTATATAGTTTTTATGTTTAAAAAAGTTATAATGAAGCTTGCTGCCGGTGTCTCATGCCTGTAATCCTAGCTACGCAGGAGGCTGAGATCTGAAGCCATCCCTGGCAAGGCAAGTCCGTGAGACTCTGATCTCCATTTAACCACCAGAAAACCAGAAGTGGTGCTTTGGCTCAAGTGGTAGAGTGCTAGCCTTGAGCTGAAGAGCTCAAGAACAGAACCCAGGCCCAGAGTTCAAGCCCTACAACCAACAACAACAACAAGTTATAATGAAGTATAACCTACCATACTGATGTGTAATCTTCATACATTTTAAAAACTAAGAACTTAAGCAAAATACTTGTTTTTCTTTTTTCTTTTTCTTTTTGTCAGTTATGGGGCTTGAACTCGGGGCTTGGAACTATTCCTGAGCTCTTTTGCTCCAGGGTAATGCTTACTACTTTAAGCTACAGCTCTACTTCTGGTTTTCTGGTGGTTGATTGGAGATGAGTGTCATGGACTTTCCTGCCTGGGTTGGCTTTGAACCATCAGATCTCAGCCTCCTGAGCAGCCAAGATTACAGGAGGGTAAGCCACCAGTGCCCAGCCAGCAACATATTTCTGTTTCAATATTCGTCAATAAATCCACTTCTGTTAAGTCAAATACCAAGTTTAAATATGAAAGTAAGGGCTAAGATTCTGGCTTCACAAGCCCTGCATTCAAGTCTTAGTACCTCTAAAAAGAAAAAAAGAAGTAGATAGAAAAGCAAAAATTGACAGAAATTTTAATTTGGCCATAAAAACTGGAAGAAGAGATTTTAATTAATCACACTAGATGTTTCTATTTAAAAATGTTTTTACTTGAACAATTGGATCTTTGCAAAAGACACAAACCAATTCTCCTCTCCTAAAGGGTAACAGACAGGGCTTTCTACTTTTATAGTTGCAAATGTAGCTCCTATTGTAGTTAGAAATCAGAAGAAAAAATGAGTTTGAGTTGTTCTTGGTACACAGAGAATGATCAGAAATCAAG